GAGATACACTTTCTCACTCACACAAACAGACGGATCTGGAGATCACAATTCGGCAAAATGCAAATGCAATTTCGTTTCCCAGCCCTACACAGGCAAGGCAAAAGCTAATGCTTATCGGTTGGAACACGTCAAAAACACTTGCTGCAGCTCCGACACGAAAGTAGACCCCCTCCCCCACAAATTATAAAAAAAATAGAAAAAAGTTTTCCCTTCCGGCAGAACTTTTAAGAGATTGATAACACACACACACACACGTGCACGTGTATGAGAGACTCCCACTCAAGGGTTTTCGGCAATTATAATGCACTTTCATTATTTCATTGGAGAGCCTCCTCAGACACAACACACACGCACAATCGCAAACACACACGCACACTGCGAGACGGCGGCGCCGATAACGAAAGATGATAGAAAAGCGAGTACGGGAAAATTTTTCTCACCTCCGACTCGATACATATTTGTGGCCATTTTCACTACGCTTCCGCACCAAAACTTTCACATGTAAAACACTCGGCACACGCTTAGCACTGTTTTTCAATAGTTCTGTTTCAAATTAGCGCACATTTATTAGCTGAAAAGTCGAGTTGTTATGATTGCATTTTTCACATAAGAAGACGCGTTTTTTTCGTCGCCATCTTAGAAACAACTCAACTCTAAAAAATACACGCACACACACACAACGCCGAGTAAACAGCTGCACCAGGGATGCATTTGGTAGAACGATAGTTCGACTATCGATGGATCGATAAGTGATAAATATTTAATTTTAATTTAAATTTATATTTTAAGAAATTTGTAACACAATACTTAAATTAACTACAAATTTACAATAAACCTTTAAGTTTTGTGAATTATCACCTATTAATTTTTTACTAAAAAGCAGCATACCCTTGTCCCATGCGATAGTATCGCTTGGAAACTATCTTCACTGACCTGCTACGTTTACAATCAAATTTCTTTAATACTTTGGCTATTGATTTATAAGTCTTGTACGCTAATATATATTGTATTACAAGTGCGAGCTTGTTGTTTTTTGAATCGGAGGATTCTTTTCGTGTACTTGTTTTGTTTTGCGTGAGTATTTTGGCCGTCGCCAGCACGAAAGGTGTCACGACTAACTGTCAAATCCGTGACGTGGCCTGGGCAACCGATTTTTCCAATTGGCAGAGGACTTACTTTGGTTTTTCCCTTTTAAATAGTATATTTAAGTGTTGCGGCGATGACCACCTACGAGGAGTTCATCCAGCAGAACGAGGACCGCGACGGGGTGCGTCTGACGTGGAATGTGTGGCCCTCGAGTCGCATTGACGCCAGTCGGCTGGTTGTGCCCCTCGCCTGTCTTTACCAACCGCTAAAGGAGCGCCCCGACCTGCCGCCCATCCAATATGAGCCGGTCCTTTGCACCCGTAGCAACTGCAGGGCCATCCTGAATCCCCTGTGCCAGGTCGACTACCGGGCCAAGTTGTGGGTGTGCAACTTTTGCTTCCAGCGCAACCCGGTGAGTAATGGTGATCTTTAGACTCTCTTCGGTAATGGATAACACCCTGCCTTTCAGTTTCCCCCTCAATATGCGGCCATCTCGGAGCAGCACCAGCCGGCGGAGTTGATTCCAGGATTCAGTACCATTGAGTACACCATTACCCGGGCCCCCACCATGCCGCCAGTATTCATTTTCCTGGTCGACACCTGCATGGATGAGGAGGAGCTGGATGCTCTGAAGGATTCATTACAAATGTCGCTGAGTCTGCTGCCGCCCAACGCACTCGTGGGCCTCATTACCTTCGGCAAGATGATACAGGTGCACGAGCTGGGTGCCGAAGGCTGCTCTAAGAGCTATGTGTTCCGGGGCACCAAGGATTTAACCGCCAAGCAGGTGCAAGACATGCTCGGAATCGGGCGCGGAGCGGCTCCGGGGCCGCAGCAACAGCAACAGCTGCCTGGCCAGCCGGCTGGAGCGGCGGCCCCAGTGCCGCCCGCCCATCGCTTCCTGCAGCCGATCGGCCAGTGCGACGCGGCTCTGGGCGATCTGCTCAGCGAACTGCAGCGCGACCCATGGCCGGTGCCGCAGGGCAAGCGCTACCTGCGCTCCACGGGCGCCGCTCTGTCCATTGCGGTGGGTTTGCTGGAGTGCACCTACCCGAATACGGGTGGACGCATCATGACCTTCGTGGGTGGCCCTTGCTCCCAGGGCCCCGGCCAGGTGGTCGACGACGAGCTGAAGCACCCGATCCGTTCGCATCACGACATCCACAAGGACAACGTGCGATTCATGAAGAAAGCTATCAAGCACTACGATGCTTTGGCCTTAAGAGCGGCCACCAATGGGCATAGTGTTGACATATACTCGTGCGCCCTGGATCAAACCGGCCTGCTGGAGATGAAACAGCTGTGCAACTCAACTGGCGGACACATGGTCATGGGTGATTCTTTTAACTCGTCGCTTTTTAAGCAGACATTCCAGCGTGTGTTCGCACGTGACGGTCGCAACGATTTGAAAATGGCCTTCAATGCCACGCTGGAGGTGAAGTGCTCGCGCGAGCTAAAGATCTCCGGTGGGATCGGCTCGTGTGTGTCGCTGAATGTGAAGAGCCCGTCGGTGTCGGATGTGGAGATCGGCATGGGCAACACGGTGCAGTGGAAGCTGTGCACGCTTAACCCCAGCTCTACGGTGGCCTACTTCTTTGAAGTGGTCAACCAGCATGCAGCCCCCATTCCGCAGGGCGGGCGTGGTTGCATACAGTTTATTACGCAGTACCAGCACCCAAGTGGTCAGCGGCGGATCCGGGTCACCACACTGGCTAGAAAGTGAGTACGGCGGAGTTTGCCGTGACCTTAAACGTTAACTAAATTTGACATTTTTGGATATATAGTTGGGCGGACGCCACCTCGAACGTGCACCACATCAGCGCCGGCTTTGACCAGGAGGCTGCCGCAGTGCTAATGGCCCGTATGGTCGTTTATCGTGCGGAGACGGACGAAGGACCCGACATTCTGCGCTGGGTCGATCGTCAGTTAATTCGTCTGGTAAGTGCATACATTATATATTCCTAAAGTTGTAGGTCATCCTAATTTAAAAAAAAAAGTTATTCATATTTTATTTACACCTTTTCGGTATAGGAACGTTTCCGATTATATATTCCTTATATTATAGATAATCTTAATTTTAATAAAAAAAAGTTATTTATATTTTATTTACACCTTTTTTCGGTATAGGAACGTTTCCGATTTCAGTTACTTACTATTTTACTAACTTTATATATATAACTAATTTATTTTTGAGGAATTGAAACATAATGTGCACACATTTTATTTTAGTGGTGGTGAATGTAAAATAAACTCAGTTTATCAGTTATCATTAATTAAAGTTTCAATTTTTACACTTTTTTTAGTTAAAATAATTTGTAAGTCTACAGTTTAAAACATTATATGTAGAAGATTTTATTACTCTGCATTCAAAATGAAATAACAATTGTTGAAATTATACTTCTTAACTAACACTATCTGAAACTGAAATGTATATTTTCTAATTTTGTCTCCGTTTTGCAGTGCCAAAAGTTCGGCGAGTACTCAAAGGACGATCCCAACAGCTTCCGGCTGTCGCAGAACTTTAGCCTGTTCCCGCAATTCATGTACCACCTCCGCCGTTCGCAGTTCCTGCAGGTCTTCAACAACTCGCCCGACGAGACCACATTCTACCGACACATGCTGATGCGCGAGGACCTCACCCAATCGCTGATCATGATCCAGCCGATCCTCTACAGCTACTCGTTCAACGGCCCGCCAGAGCCGGTCCTCCTCGATACGGCCTCGATCCAGGCGGATCGCATACTGCTGATGGACACCTTCTTCCAGATTCTGATCTATCACGGCGAGACAATCGCCCAATGGAGAGCCCTTAAATACCAGGATATGCCTGAATACGAAAACTTTAAGCAGCTGCTTCAAGCGCCGGTGGACGATGCCCAGGAGATCCTTCAGACGCGCTTCCCCATGCCCCGCTACATCGACACGGAGCACGGTGGATCCCAAGCACGCTTCCTGCTCTCCAAGGTTAATCCATCGCAGACGCACAACAACATGTACGCGTACGGACAGGTGAGTTTCGTAGCCAACCCCATTGGCTGGCCACATTTGATCGATCTTTGCAGCGCGCTCCTAATCGACATCGAAAACTCAATCGAAATCTCAATCTCGTTTTATGTTGGTTTTGTTCCTTTCATTGTGTAATCCGTATCCGTATCCGTAACCGCTCCCCTGTCATGCGCAGCCGCCTATTGGTCAAGCCACGGTAGTACACTTTTGTTCAACATTCAGCACTTAAGATGGAATAGGTTGACTTTTGCACAACTTTTTGTAGGGGTGGAATAAAATCTGGATTTCGACAGTTCGATGAAGTTTGACCTTAAAAGCTATATGTCTAAACTAGAATTTTTATTTTTTTAATTCGACTGACAAAAAAAGTAAAAGTTATCAGCATTTTTATAAATTATAAAATTTATTTTAGACTATAGTCTTTGAAAAAAGTGTTCAAAACTGTTTAAAGATTTTATTTTGTTCCTACATATTTTACTATGTTTTGTAAACATTCGTATAAGTGTGCCTATTCTATATTTTAGAATATTTGTAAGTTGCTTTTGGTGTTGGATTTTTCTCGGTGTTTGTGCGCCTCGCTCATTTCCCTCCACCCCTTTTGCCACAATCCCACCCCCACCCATCGTTTGACTAATTCTCTTGCCATTATCTATACAGGATGGCGGTGCTCCAGTGCTCACGGATGACGTCTCGCTGCAGCTCTTCATGGAGCACCTCAAGAAGCTGGCCGTTTCCACCACTACATAAATCGAGTAAAGCTCTGGATTTAGCTGCATTGTTCCCCGGATGGCGCTGTTCCGCTAACTCTTGGAACTTTTGGCGTAGGCAATGCAATCACAGACATACACCCACTTATTCCACTTGATCGTCTGAAAACACAATAAACTATTCAAATTATGTTCAACAAATTATGTGACACTCCGCTTGGCTTTTATTCAGAAGCAGCTAAACACAAAATGCAATTAGAAATTACGTTCAGCGGAATGAGTTTGCTATTGACAAAACAAGGTTTTAACAAAAAGAAAACTGTGTTCCTTCCTCTATAACAATTACTAATACAACTTAAGCCGGAGTGTTTCTGAAACATATGACGATTTTAAAACAATAATTTGATGGTTAAATTTTATCTATGAGTTAACCATTAGTTTTTCAAGTTTGAAGGAATCTTAGAAAATGTATAAGCCAAGCAATGATTTATCACATTTTTTTAAATAGAAAGCATTATAAAGCCTTTATAAAACGCTTTGAGACGCTTTTTCCATTATATTAAGAGTTTTAGACATTTCATAAACACACCAAGTTCATTTTTATAAGCCCCTACACTACTGTTTTAAAATCATCAGAGGTTTCAGTAACACAACGGTATGCCTCTCGACTGACTCCAACCTAAACTATTTGGTAAACACTGACTAAGAACCCTGCTCTTTCATAGTGACTCCTGACTCTAACTTAGTTAAGAAACCGTATGGACATCTTCTGGTCCACGTCAGTGCGGTCCAGGGCCTTGCAGAAGTCCTCGAATGAGATCTTGCCTTGGCAGCACAGATCTGCCTCTAGGATCGTCCTTTCCGCAATGCTCACCAGCTGGTCCTGGCTTATGTTTGCCCCCACCATCATGTGCAGAATGGACAGCAGCTCGTCTCGGCTGATCACACCATCATCATCCAGATCGTACATCTTGAAGGCGAACTTCAGCTTCTCCTCGCGACTGTTCAGTTTGCTCTGCTTGTTGTCCCTCAACGGTCGAAAGTGGGCCAGAACATTCATGAACTGCCGAAAGTTAACCCTATCGTCGTTGCTCTCGGCGAAGAATGAGTGCACTATCCGCTCGCATAGCGGATTGATGGCAAGCTCCGGTATCCTCATCAGATCCTCCCGGGACAGAGTTCCGCAGTCGTTGCGATCCAACGAGGTGAATCGCGAGTACAGCCTCTCAATTTGGTTGGGTGTGACTGTTCAAAAATTAAATTCAGATTTCTTTATTATTGTTTTTGTTTTCAGTTACTCATTACAAGTGCAATTATTTAGCTATCAAATTTCAAACAATGTTAAGATTAAAGTATTTTAAGAACAATTAATGTAAAATTTTTCTTAACCCACTGGATACATTTTGTTTGCCCCTCGACAATGGATCATATTTACTGTGTGCCAAAGAGTCCAAGCACATTCCGAATTAGTTGTTATAAAATCTGCCTGATAAGGGCGAACACCTTATCAGCTTCAGCTGATACTAGCTGGTCGAACATTGGATACAAGTTCCAATGCGGTGGCAATTTCAATTGTGCGGGCTTATCGCGGCCGGAATATTGAAATTACACGGTCTTGAACACTAGATAATTGCCAACCAATATCGTGGATAGGCGCCGACTTTTGCCCCCGTCTTGCCATAGCCACCGGTGACGTCATATGGGAAGTGCAGGTGCAGTTGAAATGCAAATCGGTTTTTGCTGGAAAATGTCTGTGCATATGCATACAGCTTGCATAAGGCGGCCCACAGATCGTTCAGATGCAGTTCGGCATAGCTTTAAACGGTTTTTTTTATGAACACGTATTGAGTTTAGTTCTTTATGGAAATGACGAATCCGATTCATTTGAACAATCAATGTTTTTGGCCAACAGGCCCAGGCCCAAAAGCTCTTAGCACTCCAGTGCGATGTTTTTGCTTGCTTTGCCCATGGAATATTTATTTATATCGAAGTGCGTATTGGTTTTAGAATGGCGGGTTATATGTTTCGGGGAGCAAGGGCCAAGGTTTCAACATCCCAGTATATCGTACTCACAGCCAGTTTCCTCCTGGATTTGCGCGATCTCCTCGTTGCGCAGGAAAAGCGACGATTTATTGCCCATGGTGACGGTTGTTTTTGTGCGCTGATCAATTTGTTTAAACTTTCAACAATCGCAGACGAACATTGAATGGCATTGAATTTGGATCAGAAGTCAGATTTGTGTACAGTCTGATTGCGTGTGGAATAGCGGAAAAATGTCGAAAACTGTGTTGTGAAAAAATACTAAACGGCTTGGCGATAGTTGGAGTTAGAGATGGACTTTTCCAAGTCACGCAATTATACATTACAAGGTGTTAAATAAATAATACACTTGAGAATGTTATAATAATCAAGAAAAAACGATAAATAAATAATAACATGTGGATAGTGTAAGAAATCTTTTATAATCTCGTTGTTCTAGGGAAAAAATTAATTTTCAATCTTGAAAACAAAAATGAAAATTCAAGAGGCTGCACTTAAAGTATTTGTCGTGCAATAAAACCATCGTGATTCGCGAATCGTGAATTCGACAACCCGTCTCCCATCCCTATTAGCATTTGGGAAAGAAAAACGTAAACATTCGCTTTACCGGATTGCAATCGCAGCAATGGACAAGTTAAATTCGACTCTGACAGCCGTGAAGAACCTGCGATTCAATGTGAGGCAGTGTTTCGAGCACCTGGCCGACGGAACCGATGGCGAGGGCGGAGAGGATAGCCGGAATAAGTTCGTGCACGATTTCCAGGAGAGATTCGGAGCCATTAACTCGCAAATGCGGTGAGCAAACGAAAGATCGTATTTAAACGAACTTCAACTACCCTATAAACCATTGACAGTGAGGTGGAGCAGCTAATAAATGGGCTGCAGGTGCCGCCAACGGCATATTCGCTGGGTAATACGGCATACCTGGCCCAGGAGACTTCCCAGGACCGGCAGGCGCTATACCCCCAATTGGTGAACAGCTACAAGTGGGTCGACAAGGTGCACGACCACAGTTTCCTGGCTTTCAACAATCTCAACCAGAACACGCTAAGGCGCTCCTACAACTACTGCTCCCAGAAGCGACAGCGACTGCCATTCTCCTCCTTCAACAATGACCCAGAGTAAGTGTCAAGAACTATTAAATGTTATGATTCTTTTTACTTACATAGTTTAAAGATTAAAGCATAAAAAGGCAAGTCACGAATTCTTAAGGATATATGTATATGGTAATCGTCCATGCTTTGTCCATCACGGCCCAAATTATAGTTAATAACCGCAACAAAATTCGTAAAAGTTATAACTTAATTTGTTTTTTAATTTATTTTAATGTACTTTGATTTGGATTACTATTCTAGAACTACGGCTTTATATTTATTAAGCTCAAACGGAACGATCGTGAAATTCATCTTTCTTCTTGTTATAAAAATCCTTACCAACTTTATTTTTATTTGTCCCCCAGCCACATAGACAAGTTACTGAGTGAGATCAACACCCCACCGCACACCTCGTACCGAATATTCCGTCCCTTTGGCACAAACGCGGTGGCCATCGTGACCATTAGCAATGTAATGAAGGCGGCCATCGTGTTCAAAGGAGTGCTCATAGAGTGGGTGACCGTAAAGGGATTCGACGAGCCTCTGGAGCACGACGACCTTTGGGCAGAGTCGCGATACGAGGTGTTTCGCAAGGTGCAGGAGCACGCCCACTCCGCCATGCTGCACTTCTTCTCGCCCACGCTGCCCGATTTGGCGGTGAAAAGCTATGTGACCTGGCTGAACAGCCACATCAAACTGTTCCTGGAGCCCTGCAAGCGGTGCGGGAAATTCGTGGTTCATGGACTGCCTCCAACTTGGCGGGACTTGCGAACCCTCGAACCTTTCCACGAAGAGTGCAGAAATTGCTGAAGATTTTATTAAAATATAACACTGTTAGTTGTAACTTGTATACTTCATTTATTTCAAAAAACAAAAAATTATATGTACTTTGAATGCATGCGGGCGGATTTTGAGAAATCGCCGCGCTCGACTGAATAACTACAACGGTTTAATGCGTTTTTAATGGCCAACCAGGGCAGTCGTTGCCCGCTTCGATTCCGGCCACTGCGTTTGCACGCCGCGCTGCAGGCACAGTCGCTCGAAGTTGGCGCGCAGCGTGGCGCGAAGCTGCTCCCGCTTTTGCTGCACCTGCTCCCGGTGGCACTTGAAGGCCAGAACCACCTCCTGTGGAATGTAATAGCTCTCCTCGTCTTTTTCGTCGTATTCATCGAAGTCGTCCTGCAATGTGAATTGGTTAGAATGTGGTTAGCATAACTATGTCGTATAATAATAATTACTATTAGAAAATTATCAGCCCTTATACAGTCATAAGCTATACACAAATAAACAATTTTGATCGTAATGTTGTATAAGATAATCTAACACAATACTGCACAGTTGAAAAATTAATGACTTGGAAGGTATTTTAAAATTAAATTTATCTTTTAATAGAAAGAAAATCCTTTGCTAAAGGCTCATTTTAATTGTTTTAAATCCCCACATTATCTCAAAGATCCCTTTACCATAACTCACCCACATCTGCAACAATGAAAACTGCGACTGATGGCCGTAGAACAGTAGGTCAGAGACGTAGCTGTTTCGGGCGGCTAAGCCGTCTGAATCCTCGTCGTGGCCGTCGTGATTACACAGTCCGTCCGAGCAAGACACCTCCGAGCCCTCCGGCGAGTCGGCGGGTGATGTGGGATCGCTGCCGTAGCCGGAATCGCGCACATCCTGCTCGCACGGGCAGTTGGGCATTGGGGCCATGCACTCTACGCACTTATCGCCGCCGCCGACCGCCTTGACGACGCTCGACGAGATGCAGCTGTCCACGTCCAGGTGATCGTGATCGTCGTCCAGAGGTTGGATGCTACCCAAAGGCTGCACCTGCTTCCGGTTGTCAGCCTTCTGGGAAGCTGCTGGCTTCTGCTTCTTTTTCTTCGCTTGTTTCTTCGGTTTCGATTTCGTTGGCTTGGACGTGGGCTCTGGTTCCGGCTCCGGGTGTGGTGCCTCTATGACAATGCCATCATCCGCACCTGGATCGCTTAGTTCCACATGCTGCTCCTGAGTCTCCTCCTCCTCTTCCTGATCTAGCTCCGCCTTCTCCAACTCCTGCTCCTCCTCATCGTCAGACTCCTCGTTGGCCTCTGTATTCTCGCATAGTCGGTGCAGCATGTTCTTCTTCTCGTCCTTCTTCTTCTTCTTCTTGAGCTTCTTCTGCTCCCGCTTGATCTGCTTGGCCCGCTCTGCTCGGCTGATCTCCTGGTAGAGCAGCTCCAGGTTGCTGATTCCCTGCTTCTGCTCCACGAACGTGTCGAAGCTGCGACAGAGGGCGTGGACACCCACAGCGGCCAGCACCTGGCAGGCGCGCTCCTCCTCCCGCAGACTCACGTAGATGCGTCGGAGTCGTTCATACATAATCATGCCCACGCAGGTCAGCACCTCTTCCTGAGCGATCTCCAACGTCTTGGCGTGACGCTCACGTAGCTTCGAGTAGCTGCCGTTAACCTCCGGCTCGGCGCGCTTGATTAGTGCGTCCAGGAACTCTATCTTGTTGGTGCTCACGTGGATGTGCTGGTCGGGCACGCACTTGCGGATATGGGCATACAGCTGGGCCGCGTAACCCTTCTCCTTGGCCGACACCTCACCAATGAGTATTTTGTAGGCGCGCTCGATCTGAAACAAAAAAATAAAAAATTGTCAATATATTAAATGATAATGATATTTATTATTTAAATGTACAACAATCAAATTACAGTGAGTTAACCCATTTTAATCGTTCATTAGTAGTCATTTCTGCTTAAATTTAAAAAATATATATATACAATATCTTTAAAAAGCAAAAAACAAAATTATAATGAGAAAAACAAAAATGATGGGAAAAAACTTTAAAACTACGAGACTTTAAAAATGAATATGTTGGCTTATAATATAAATATAGCAACATTTTATTTGGACTAGTCACCCAAATGTCCTGTGTGAAAGAGATTTCCCGGTATTTTTATGCCTATGATCCATTTTGGTTTCCTATTCCGTCTCCCGTCCGTAACTAGTTCAATATTTTGGGTCTTACCTTTGTCCGGCAGCCGGAGCAGAACTTGTGCTTCTTCAGGTAGTTCTCGAGCACGTCGTGCAGTTCCTTGGTCTCGATGATGGTCAGCTCATTGCGGCAATTGCTCTTCATTGCGGACCACACCTCGCGCCACGTCTCCGAAAAGGGTTTGGCGCGGAAGGCGTCTAACGAGTGGAGGACACAGCGCGTCTTGTTTCGCAGTTTGTTGTCCAGCAGGTTGTTGAGCACCTCGTGATGCCGATAGAGCAGCGTGCCCAGGGCCTGCGGGGTCTTCAGTTTCTCCTCGACAATGCCCAGTGTGGCTGAGGGGCGCAGCTCCAGTGGATCAAGCGTTCGGTGTCCTGACTCGGTTAGTTGGTGGAACAGCCGCTCCACACGTCGCCGGCAACCCACGCATTGGACACACTGGTTGAGGACCATCATGAAGCTTTCGCTATCGATCTCCAGCGACTGCCGGCGCTCGGCCTCTGTAAGAAGTTTGAATTTGCGCGAGAACTCCTCCAGGTCGCGTCCGCGGATCATCGGACTGTCGATCACCAGTCCTTTGCTGTTCAGGTCCATGAGCATCTGCAAAAAATGGAAACAGTTAGGGTGGGTTTACACTAGAAAGCGTATAGAGAATCGTGGCTCGATTAGCATCATTATGTAGACAATACCTTGGGCCTATTTGTAAACTATACATTGGTTTAACAGTAGTTGTTAAAATTATTAACTTACATCCTTTGTACGTATTAAGAATTCCTCATAGATTATTATGCTTAAACTATACAATTTAAAAATGACTTGATTTCCTTGATCTAGGCATTTAAATGAATTTAATGCGTCCATTGTTATTTCAAAACCATTAATAGATTTTTGCTAAACCCCATAATGCTGATTTTTGGGCCAACAAAAACACTAGCTTAGCGTTATTGCGCTTCCATCGATATCGATACCTCAGCGAGCAAGTGTGCAGGCGATTAGAGAGTTTTGGACCGGAGAATCGAATCGAAAAGATCAGCTTAAGAGAGGGCGACGGGGAGTGGGAGTGCATACAAACAGGTTATTGTTGTTGCACTTTCCAGCAACATGGCGGCTGCAGCCGGAGAGAGGCTGAAAGGGAGTTGTGGGTGGCAGGTGCAGAATCACAGCTCAAGTTCAATTAATAAACGCACAATTACACAGCAGACCGAACGCACACAATGCCATCCGCTACTTACACATAACAATCCGCCGTGTTATGAAAGTTTTTGGACCAAGTGCACGCACACACGCACACTAATCGCGTGTGTGTGTGTGGGTTCTGCTGGCAGTCATTTTCTTTGGATGGCCGTACATATAGCGGAAATCGGTGCGGATATATGCTCACCATTAACTTATCGCCAGCCACCAGGGGCAAATTCCTGCGTCCAACGTAACCGGAGTCGTCGTCGTCCGTGTTGTAAACCTTTGTGAGTCTGGCCATTATGAATATTCGACTACGAGAGCCAGCGACAAGGCAAGGCAAAATTTCAGGCACTTTGCGACACAGACACACTTTTCTCCAGAGGTCCAGGCGTGGGAAACGGGGATCAACGGAATATGCCAGCAGCGCACGGATCAACAAACTGTGTTGACGACTATCTCCACTCTCCACAAAGTTCGAGTGTTTGGTGAACGCTCTAAAATCAGCTACAAATATATTTTCTATGTCAAACACGTAGTGGGCAAGTCGGTCCGGTCGCCATTAAAACGGAGTAGGGTTGACAGCACATTCAAAGGTGGCACTGAACTATCGATATCTCAACTATCGATAGTGCACACTGCTTTCCTCTAAAAATATTAAGGGGACTCACGGAACATCAGAGCGATGATTCGGCCAAACTAGATTTAATATATTTAGATTGTTCCTACTTTGTACATTTTTTGCCGACATGAGAGGCCAGCGCTACCTGCCTAAGTAGACTGGTAATACAAAAAAAAAATTTGTTGTACTATTGAGGATTCTTGATTATTATAATCAAAATTTGAACACAATTAATCATTGAGAAACAACCAAAATCACAGTTATTTTCAACAATCGCCCTAATGTTTTAATCGACTTCGATAACATAGAATGCTAAGCCATTTATCGCAGTTGGCACACGCTGGTGTCCGCGTTTCGCCGTGAACTCCAAAAATTCGCGTTGTTCGGCAAAAGTTACAAATAATTTTCAACGCGACAAGTTGCAGACTAGATCGGTTTTATTTCATCTTAGCCTTAGCATTTTGCCAACCACCACTACACCCATGCCCGAGCTCTAGGAAAGCGAGTAAGTAGGGCCCTGAATGTGAAAAACGGCCAACTAACCCGCTCATTACGCCTACAACTGTGTGTGTCTGTGTGCGGGCGAAGAAAATTCATTGCAGCCAAGCGCGAAAAACGCGGAGCCAAGCAGTCAGCCACCATGGACGTGTCGCAGCCGCCGCCGCAGCTCCTAACCGCGCCCTCGGCGCTGGCCACCAACTTCACATCGCTCCCGCCGCCAAACATGGGCGGCCAGCACTTCCGCCACTACCATCCACATCACGGTTCCAACAAGCACGGTTACAACCAGTTCAAGCCCTTCATGCCCGGCGGCTTCCAGCGGCCATTCGGGATGTCACAGGACGACTTCGACGGCAAGCGGCTGCGCAAGAGTGTGATGCGAAAGACTGTGGACTACAACGCGTCCATCATTAAGGCGCTGGAGGTGATTCATTGGGTTCCATTCTAGCTATGAAGATCAATCTCCGCAGATCTACAGCGAAACGTACAATAACTTGGATCTTGGGGACTTATTAACCACAGTTTGAGCTAAATACTTACACAAGCATCTAGTTTCTTCCATAGGAAGGTCTAGATATCTTTAACTTTTTATTATTAGATTTTTAAGGGAAATCTTTAAAGACACAACTACCTGTACAAGGAGTAAACAAAAAGTTTATTGATGATAATCATTTCATGATCGCCGAGCAGGAGGAAATTCATTATCTATATTACCCAAATAACAAAGCATTTTTAGGCTTTTTTAGTGGTTTGCCATTTTCGGCTTTGATCTATACAGATTAGATATTTTTTAATTTCAGCAAGAACTTCTAGGTTGTTTTATTACTGAAATGTATGATTTATTATAATAAGTCTGCAACTCTTTAAAATACTAGTCCCCCAGGATGCATTGTTTATTATAAAATGAAATAGGGAATATAATTTTATTTATTTTTTTGTAAGTTAGTTTGATAGTTTTAAATAACAAAGAAATGAAAATTCAACAGTGAAAATTTTGGGTTCTTCCATCATATATGTACCATAAAAAGTCAGTTAAATACCCAAACTAAACTGCTGAATATTGGGCCATATATTTGTGTTAAAACCGACTTAACAAAAAAAACAATATTAGTATTACAAAAATCTATTAAACTTAATGTAAACGAACCCTATTCTGACAATTGTCAGACGTTTCTGGGTCACCTCTGATTATTATTCTATGTGCAAAACGATATTAAGTAAAACAACATTACAGCAAAATTCGAGGTTTCAGAAAATGCATAACTTTAGAATAATTAATTAATGAATCATAATTTATTGATTTTCATCACCTTTTTTATTAACAAGAATATTATTTTGATGATTTCCAACAGAACCGCCTGTTCCAGCGCGATCATCGGGACCGCTTGGCCCTGCAGCCTGACAGCATTTATGTGCCCCATATGCTGCCGCCCTCCGCTTACCTGGACAACCCGTCAAATGCGGTGACGACAAGATTTGTGAAGACTGCCACGAACAAAATGCGCTGTCCCATTTTCACGCTGGCCTGGACGCCGGAGGGCAGGCGCTTGGTCACCGGGGCCAGTTCTGGCGAATTCACGCTCTGGAACGGACTGACCTTCAACTTCGAGACCATTCTACAGGTGGGTTACCGTCGGCAGATCCTGTGGGATCACAACTAATCGGTAGTATCATTAAAACAGGCCCACGACATTTCGGTGCGAACGATGGTGTGGTCGCACAACGACAGCTGGATGGTGACCGGCGACCATGGCGGCTATGTTAAGTACTGGCAGTCCAACATGAACAACGTGAAGATGTACCAGGCGCACAAGGAGGCGATTAGGGGAATAAGGTATAGCCATTTAATTGTAATTGTCGACTGTATTTACCATTTTGTAGCCGCTGACGCAAGCCAACCAAGTCAAAACCAAAGCCAGAATCGCGTTGCTCCTTCCATAGTTTCTTTCGTTTGGGTCGCTTGGGCAGTTTTGGGGTATTTTTTTTGTTTCGCGATCAGCTTAGTGGATCGGTTCCTTTCAGGGCTGTTGCAATTACATATCAATAAAGCCGTCAAATCTGCAACATGCCAACCAGTTATCAGTTTCGCGCTATTTTCCAGCCTGCAATTGGCCACTTAACCACTTTTAACATCTCCATTAGAACAAAAAGTCTGAAATATGTTGTAAGCCTCGAACTCTTCTGTGATATATCAATAAAGATGAAAAGAAATAAAAACACTGAAAGTGAAATGATATAAATGCAATGCTGCGCAAAAAGCTGACAATAAAAGCAAATTACTAAGAACAAAAAGAAACCACTGCACAATTTTATTTTCGCGGCCACAACATCAACAATAAAATAAATGCAATGCGTTGCACTGATTGTTCCACAATTCGGGGGTTCGAGTGTTTTCTTTCTCAAGCATGGCGATAATTCTTGGCGATTGGGTAATCCGTCTTGCGAGATATTAGTTAATTCTGCAACAGCAACACCTCATTTTACCGCAAATAAATAAATAAAATTAAAAAAGAGTTGTGCTGATAAAATGTACTTTTCTCAACAAAAATATTTAAACTAATATTTTCTACTTATTTTGTGATTTTTTTAATAGGGACTTATCATTATTTAATAAATTAAACATTTTCTTTTGGTTCAACAACACATTTGTGACAAAGGAAAATAAAATGTTGCCTAAAATGTATCTATTTCCGATTAAATTTATTATAATTTTAATTGTTTTACATTGTACTTTAAGATTTCTTAAAGGACGACCCTGAATAACCAATATTAAGTATTTTCATCTAGTACTTTAAAAGAAGTGATATGAATTAGCCGGCGATTATATCTGTATCATTCTCTATCATCGTCCACACTCATAATCATCTTTCAATTCGTGTTTTTGTTATGTTCTAACCATTCTCCAATGCAATTCACCAAACGCAGTTTCAGTCCCACGGACAGCAAGTTTGTTAGCGGCAGCGACGACGGAACTCTGAGGATTTGGGACTTCATGCGCTGCCAGGAGGAGCGAGTGCTACGAGGTGAGATCTACATTCTAGAAGATCATCCAAACACAGAGCCACCAGAGGCTTTCTAACCTATTTTAACTAGGACACGGAGCAGACGTCAAGTGTGTGCACTGGCATCCGCAAAAGGGAATGATCGTCAGCGGGAGCAAGGACAACCAGCAGCCCATTAAAATCTGGGATCCCAAGAGCGGAATCGCTCTGGCCACTCTGTGAGTATCCGTATTTTAATAAATAAATTCCTATCTTTACCTTTAATGAGTGTAACAGTGTAACACATAAATAAATGCATTTTCGGGAATTTAACACGATAGAATGTTTTGAAATTTAGGGTTTTTTTTACAACAATATTGAAATTAAAGGAGTTTAGTGGTGTCTTCAGAGATGCAAAAAAAAAAACATAACAAAAAAATTCAAAAAGGTTATTAAAGTACTAATAAAATTTTTGAAAGAAATCAAAAATTTCCAAAAGGCCGTACTTCTAATAATAAGATTTGTTTTTCAGGGTACCCAAATTTTTGTTTTTTGTAAGCCAGCTGACAATATTCAAACAATAAAAAATCCCTAAGTGATTATATAGTAAATATGTATGTTCATTTAACAACACTAATTTTTAATTTGAAGTCTGTCACTGCTTGTTGAGTTATGATGTCAGAAATATTGATAAATTTAATTTCAAGATCAAACTAATCTTCATTTTAAAAATCACTAAAAAATCGATTTTTAGAAACTGTCATACCTTTAGTAACATACTCATAATGCATGTTTAATACAACATAATGTGTTTTGTCCCATTGTTTTCTTTATATTACTTTCAAACCCGAATATTTTAATATAAGTAATATTTTCTATGTTGTTTTAAACAGACATGCTCACAAATCCACGGTGATGGACTTGAAATGGAATGACAATGGCAACTGGCTGGTCACCGCCTCCAGGGATCACCTGCTCAAGCTCTTCGACATTCGCAACCTGCGGGAGGAGGTGCAGGTTTTCCGTGGCCACAAGAAGGAGGCCAGCTCAGTGTCGTGGCATCCCATACACGAGGGTCTATTTTGCTCTGGCGGCTCCGATGGCTCCATTTTGTTCTGGAATGTTGGGTGGGTTTTTTTAAAATCCATGATTAAAAGTTTTGTGAGTCAATGGGTTTCTTTTCGTGCAGCACCGACAAGGAGATTGGCTGTGTGGAGACGGCACATGACAGCATTGTGTGGACGCTGGCCTGGCATCCGCTGGGTCACATTCTGTGCTCCGGATCCAATGATCACACCATCAAGTTCTGGACGAGAAACCGTCCGGGAGATCTGATGAGAGACAAATATAATCTGAACACATTGCCCGCCAGCTTGGCTGCTTTGGATGAGTGTGAATATGGTAGGTTACGTCGCTCATTTTATATCGTTAAATGTCCTGATCGACTAATTTATCTGCCCAACTTTGCAAACAGATGACGCTATCATACCCGGAATGGGTCCCGAGGACCGGGTTGAGTTTACCGAAAGCTTAACGGCCGACAAGGGCTTCATTCCTGGCCTGGATTTGGATCCGAGCAGAGCGCTGAACGATCGCGACCGAGAGAAGAAGGTTCCCTACAGCAAACCCATACCGCGAAACTTCCAGGTGAACTGGGCTGGTCCCCGGCGAGCGGACGATCCCAGTGTGCTCAGCATCCACGACGAACTGGCCGCCCGCGAGGCCAAGGACTCGACCAGTGGACTGAACCACCAGCAGATCAGCGAGAATACCATGGAGGGCATCCTGGCTAGCGGCATGCTCAATGGCCTCGATCCCCAGACAATTGTTGGGGTGCTGGTGTACAATCGATTCATTCGCGTCCATCCGGACTCCAGACTGATGGCTGCCATTCGCCAGGGCACCGAGTTCCTCAACAAGTACATCGATGCCGGTAAGCTGGAAGAGCTCAATGATGTGGTTCCAGTGCGGGAGCGCTCGCGATCCGTTTCACCCACGGTGGAGGCACGTGGCGAGGTGGTTTCACCGCCCACCAAGAAGTCCCGCTTCGAGCCGCGCCAGCACAACGCTCAGCTGGTCTGCGTCCGGGAACTGTTGCAGCTCAAGAAGCCATTCGTGCAATCGCTGGTCACGGCGAAAGCCCAGCAGCCCAGCACAGAGTTTGTGGACGAACCGCCACTAGAGCAGCGGGAGAGGGAGCGCGAACGGGAACGGGAACGAGACGGTGACCGCGACAGGGAGAGGCAGGGCGATCGGGATCGCGGCCGTGAACGCGAAAGGGACCAATCGGGGGGCAGACCCAATCCCTGGGCTTCCAATGCCCCCTGGTCAAACAATGGCAATTCCGGCGGCAATGCGCCCAATGGCTTTGGCAACAATGGCGCAGATGGCTTCAACGATCGGGAACGAGACTTCCAAAAGAGCGGGAATAACGGAGGAGGAGGTGGTGGCCAGCGTCGTCGGCGTGGCAACAATAATTCCGGCTCTGGTGGTAACGGAGGAGGAGGTGGTGGCGGCGGAGGAGGCGGTGGCAGAAATCGCGGACGCAACAACAACAGGCGCTACTAACCGCCATCCCACCAACACACACACACACACACACACACACCCAATTTACACATTCTTCAGTTTAAGCCATTTCTATGTCGTTGACTCAATCTCTTTTGCAACCCTTGCTTTTTAATGCTAAAATCGATTTATATTGTTTTAACGAAAAGAAAATCAGATTGTAACATAGTATACATATATTGTGTGATTTACTTATTGGGAAAGGTTGGAAGTGTTAACTATTATTTGAAATGGTTTTAAGAACCTGAATTATCTGTGGAAATACTTTTTATGACCATGCCTGGTTCATATTGCAGACTGATTTTCGATTGTCCGAAGACAACTTTAAGAATTTTCGTTACCGGCCAACCTAAAGCAAAGGAAATGAAGCGATAAATATCAGAGTTATATAGTTTGTATTACAAGAACATTAATATCGAGAAGTAAAATCCATCAAAAAACATTACATCAACTACTTGTGGTGGCTTGAGACCATGATAGGGCAGTTACTATAAAAATGTGGTTTTAACTTTTTACTAGATTAAAAACTATGGTAATTTCACGATCGAGTTAGCTTAAACTCATTTGGTTTGGGAAAACTGAACTGGATTTATGTTTTTACAACTTTGATATCTTTATTTTCAAAACTCTTACTAACAGCTAAACTAGTATATATATTTCAGGCAGCCAGTGAATTGCGGCGACTGCCGCGCTTGCTGCTGCTGCTTCGTCGTCTTTCGTCGGTCTCCTGTGTCGGTTGGGTGGTGTCCATGTGGTTGCTATTGTGGCTGTTGGTGCGCGGCTGTCTGAAGTTCTCCCTGATTTCTCGCTCCTCCTCGCGCATCCGGTTCTTGGTGTGCTGTTCGATGGTGCGCTGTATTTTCTCGGCAGAGGCCACCAGCTTGTCCGTCTCCAGTTTCACGTCCTTTGGTGTGTGGCTGCGACTTTTGCTGTAACTACGACTGCTGCGATTGCGGGTCCGGTGATCGCGGCGCGAACTGGAGCGTCTGCGAGAATGGGAGCGGGAACGCGACCGTGAATAGCTGGTGGATCGGGATCGGCGCGTGGATGCCAGCTTCCGGTTCTTGCGCTGGGATGGCGTCTTACTGCGGCTGCGCGAAGATCTGCTGTGACTTCGCCTGCAACAAGTTTAAAGTTCGCAATTATGTGTGTGTTTATTTGCAGCCAATCCTACATCTTTACTTTATTTTAAATAGGAAACAGCTATCAGATAGACTCGTGATGTAAATTTGAGAAAGAACTAATTTGCAGCTTGTTTTGAAAAAGTCGCGATTATATGATCTTTTACGATGGGAATATTATTATATAATAACTTTTCCTATTTAGCAATAAAAACAGCTGTTCCTTTTTTCTTATAAAAATATATATCATTATTTACCTTGATCTTGATGAGTAAGATGACTTTCGATAGTGGGAGCGACTGCGTGACTTTGAGCGCCTAGAACGACAAACAATCCTAAACATTTTTTTATATAACATTCTAGTTGAAATCAATGCCTCACTTACCGACGTCCCCGTGAACGACTTCGACTCCTTGAATACGAAGATGAAGAGCGCGAGCGGTTTCTGAATATAGAAAAATATAAATTTATTAAAATGCCAATACCCTTATGACTCGATTCTTACCTTCCTCGCGATGACCTGTGGTAGTAGCCATTATCGCCCTCGTCCCCGTAGCGATCGTGCTTTGAGTTGTAATAGGAGTCATACCCGGAACGACTGCCTCTTATCCCCATGCCACGACCCCTTCCTCGGCCGCGGGGACGCGGAGCAAAGCCGCGATAATTGCTGGAGACGGGAAACGGAGCGGGCGGACGATACAGTGCTCCGGGAAACACACCTGGCAGGCCGTATCCGAACATGGAGAGGGACTGCATCCATTCGCTAGCCGCCTCGGCACTGTAGGGACCGGCACCTGGCACAGCGCCAGCGGCCATTGCGGCCACCGCTTTTAACGGGTTCAATGTTGGATTGACGTCGCCGGAGATCGCCGCCTTGGTGTCCACAGTGCCATTGCCCATCTTGTGTCTTTTACTTGCCGACCCATCGTCATCACTGCTTGCGTCCATTGGCGCAGCACTGGTTTTGGATTTGCTCTTCAGGAGTCCCATTAGTGGAGTATTGCTTTTGATTTCCTGGACGATTTTTCGCTGATCACAAACAAGCTTTTCTGTAGCAGCCTTGTACTTTTCCACAAGTCTCCCACGTTGGATATCTTTGACTTCATCTTGTTTAGCCCGTCGGTTTTTGTCCTTTTGCTTCAGCTGTAATAGAGATTATAAAATTATAAATTTTCGCTACAGGTACTTGTTGTAAGTTTTAACAACTAAATTGCAAAAAAAAAAAATGGGTTTGAGCTTGGAAAAGTATTCAAGACTAATTTTAGTTTATCACTACTAATTTTAAAAACGGTTTAAGCCTGTACGATGCATTTTAGGTACCCCAATCCATGTCTAACAAATGTTGGCAAGTTCAATTTGTTCAGGTATATACAAAATACACTTAAATATATTTCCATGTTACCATGTTCAACAAATTAATTAAAACATTTTAAATTTCAATAAAGAATTATTTTAATTAGCTTTTCATTGTGGTTTTAAAAAGAGCTGACATACTTATAGCGATAATTAGTCCTCAAGAACTGTATGTGTGCCTTATATAAAGAAAATGTTTAAGACATTTACCTACTAAAGTTACATTTATTATAATAAATATTTATTGTGTTTACCTGTATCCGCTCGAATAGCTTTTCTAAGGTGCGAATGCTCTCCAGCTTGCGTTGTGCTATCATCAGCTTGCGCTCCTCGATGCGTATTTTTTGCGAGATCTCCAACTGGCCGCGCTCCTGAATCTTTTTTAGATGCTTTTCTTTCCGCTTTTCTTCGCGTTCACGCTGCTTTTCCGCTTCCGCAATTTTCAACTCTTCTTGTTTTTGCCTGTAATTTTTGTTGCAATTTTGCGGGTTTTTGTTTTGCTTTTGATATATTTGTTATGCATAATAAATATTTGTTAACTGTTCGTCTAGAAGATACAGAGAACGATTGGCTAAAGGCTCGCCTCGCCCAGCGGCCGCCAGGTGAGAAGCATAAAGATATAAATATGAAATGACCAAATATGAAAACAGTAATATAGCAGGCAAAGGTAAACGCGATACATAGCACAAACCAAAAGGTAAGGTACAAAATTAAAAAAAGGAACTGAAATCGTTTATACAAAATTTCACTTTAGTTCTAGTTTAGAAATTTTGAATAACTCTTTTAAAAATAAATCCCAATTGCTATGTGATTACTGTTTTCGGTTACCGGCCCAAAACAATGATCAAACCTTTCGCGTTCCAGTTGTTCTTCCTGTTGCTTTTTCAGCTTTTCCCGCTCCTCATCCTCGGCTTGGGCTTTCGCGATGCACTTCTTCCTCATGCGTTCTCGGCGCTGAATGTGTGAGTCGCTGAGGTGCTTATGCTTGTCGAAAGTGACACAAATGTTAATGGCCTGGGTTTTATCCACGAACTTGCGGACCAACTTGGTGCCCCTGAACTCGTCCATGGCACGCACAAAGCTGGAGTACTCCTCGAACTGGACATATCTGCAAAAGCAATGTCAAAAACAATTCAAACAGGTATATGGTAGTTAATTGAATGTTTAAAACATACGCTTCGAAGAGAACATCCTGCTCGAAACTGAACGTTCGCATGCCGTTGATGTCCGCCTGCATGCTTTTTCGGTACGGATCACAGATGGGGATGTCCACCATCTTGACGCGTCCGTACTTCTCGAAGATGCGCTTGAATATACTCTCGCTGGGCTTCACATGCTCTTCGTGCTCCGAGTGCCGCGGACAAAACCAGCGCATTGGCAGGTGGCTCAGGTGAATTGTGTCCGGTCGTTCGCCCGCCTTCATTTCGTCCATGTTTCGAGCATCCCGGAAGTAGGAATCCCAGTCGTGTCGCGTTGGAAATTCATCCTTTTGCTCGGTGCATCGCACTCGGAACGATTCACTGAAGCCGGAGAGGCGCAGAGAGATCCCGTCCAGTCGTTGGATGGCCGGGCGGAGACGTTTGCGCTCATCCAGCTCGGCTTCCAATCGGATGGTGTTTACTGTGCTCTTGGAGACCTGATGGCAAGTACTGGTTATAAGTGGATTGTTGCCAAATATTTAATACGCTCGGTATCGAACACTTACTCTGAGCAGCAGAAACTTGTCCGGTTTGAGCTCGGCACTCAGTTTGTCCATTATCTCCAGGTTGGATACGGATTTGCCGGACTTGATCGACGGAAGCGACACGGAGATTTGCATTTTGGCCAGCGGCTTGAGATACAAGCTGTGCGGCAGGTAAAGAGGCGTGCAGTCGGCCACATTTTCTATGCTCTGGATGTTGGTCATTTGGAAAAGGTGTGGTTTTTCGATTTTTGGATTCGACACAGTACAATGTAATGAGGCAAAATACAGAAAGTAATATTTGTGTTTCTTTTACCAGTAAACAAACTAAACCTATACCTAGAAACTAAGGTGTAATCTCAAGAAAAACGCCCAGGAAAATGCTAAAGAAAAATGCCGCCCGTGCCCCTTGTTAATGTGTTTCATGAGTGTGTTTGTTGGCGAGTGTGTCTGAAGCAGGGGAAAAATCTGTTTTTTGGGCGTCCGTATCTGCTTGTTTGGGATTTTGGGCCACCTTAACCTACGATCCCGTAAATTGCTACATAAGTATAATAAATTTGTGACTTTTTGTGTGTGTTTGCTGCACTATTTGCTAAAAAGAAAAAATTTTCGGATTATTTTATTTGCACTTTTCGCTAGAGATGGCAGACGTTCGATAACATTTTTCACCAGTTAGAAACTGATATTTTTTATTTTGAATGATAAACACTATAGACCTAAAATATACATATAAATAATAATAATAACACCTTATTAGTGGTTTAAGAAATGTATTTGCTTTTTATATTGCAGTATTCCACTGGAACCATTACTTTAACCGATTGCACCTGTAAAGAACTTCATATGAAAAATTTAGTGCCAGTGGAACTCGGCTCTTAAAATCACAGTTCCTACCCATTGAATCACGTATCCTCTCTAGTTTCCTTATCGATATCGACTTGAAAATCTGTTGTCATTCTCACATCGCGAGGCATAAGCAAAGACAAAAAGTGAGAACGAAGTGCGTTATTTCATTTTTATACCATTTAATTTAATTAGAAATCTAAGCAAAGCAAAAATATGCGCGAGTGAAATTGTGCCACTCCAAAAACCCAAACGGCTCCCGTGTCGCTTCGTGTAAATGGCCAAAAACTGACGCGAAAAGTAAAACTGCCAACAACAACAAGCAGCAGAAAACAGAAAGCATAAGCAAGCAGCACCAGCAACAACAACACCCACAGCAGCAGCAACAACAACGCAATTGTGATAGACAAAGAAATAGATTAAGGAAAGGGAAGCAAACAGCGAAAGAGAACAGAAGGAAGGGGAAAAAAACGAAAACAGCCTGAATTATATGGAAAATATTTCTTTGCTCGAACATATTGATGGACACTGAGACTAGGGAAACTCAAATAAACGGTTTTTACACACTTGCACATTTGATACGCAACGAAAATAGCTTTTAAAGTAATAAGTAATAAGCAGGCGGAAGAAGAAGCATAGCATACAAAATAAATAAGAGAAGCGAAGAAGGCAAAGGGGAAAATAAAACAACACTGTGGCGTTGAAAGAGAGGGAGCAGCAGACTATCGGAAATAAAGAGGAAGACCATTCGTTGTTGTTGTTGCTGTTGCAAATAAAAACACAAACAGACACACACATTTAGATACAGACACAGCCACAGCTGATGTAAAATAATTTGCAGCGCCTGTGTGTTTGTGCCCGTTTACAATTGATTAAAACCAAAACACACGAACACAAAAACAGACAACAATAACACTGGCACACACACACACACACTGACTCACCATTGTGAAAATTGATTAAAGATTATAAGGTGAGTGTGAGTGGGGCATGGTTTTAATTAACCGTTAGTTATAGTTTTATGCACCAATACAAGCGCTCCTGACGACGCCCTTTTAACTGCATAAATTCCACCCGCTTTCCACCCCCCCGTTTCCCATTGTACCAAATGCAACTACACCTGCTGCCATTTTCTTTTTTTTTGAACGTCAGCAACCCTCGCGCATTGTTGTGTGCGTCCGTTTGAGCCAAATTGCAATTAATTGCCATAATTTACATATTTTACAAGAATAACTCGGTGCCTGTGTGCATTTGTTCGTCATTCCTGAGCTTTTTCCTGTTAACTGCACCTGAGTGTAAATACAAGGCAATAAAACAAAACAACAGCTGAGTGAGAACGGGAAGGAGAGAAGAAGAAGCGTGGCAAAGAGAAATTGAGAATAAGTTGCAGCTTGGCTCGGAGTGTCAAATATCGATAAAATGCAGCCAACCAGCTGATCGTGTGTTTTTACTCTACTACAGATTTTCAGTTGATTTTTATTTATCTGCTGTTTACGTCTCGCTTCTTGTGTTTTTTTTTTCGCTATTTGGCTTAACTTGTTTGCACTGCAGTTCGAGTTGTGTGTGAGTCATGGACTTGTAATAACTTAAAAGTTCTGGATGCAGATACATATAAATGAAGTACTGGGGACAAACAAGAGTGGCATTAACCATTAATTGCAGTTAGTTGCCTCCCTGGCAGCCGCTTGTTATCGCTCTCCCTGCGAGAAAGTGCTTTTTCCTGCCCCCTACAACGAAAAAAGAAGAGAGAGCTGATAAACTCTGACTGCGCTGTCGACGCTCTGTAATCAGTTGGCCGCGGCAGAGGAGTTCAGTTTACTTGGTTTTGGTTCAGGGTTTTCTGCCCTATTTCTCTGCTTTCAAATCCGCTATTGGGCACCATGACGTCACCTAGAGTCGCCCTCTGACCAAAGATCCGCCAATTTTTGTTCTATGTTTAAGCACTATTGTGACTATCCATTACCTTGGTGGCACTATAAAAACCATTCTAACGTTGTATGGATAGAACAGTTATACAATAGTACATACATAGGTCAACAGGTTCAGCAGATTTATTTTATTATTCATTCATAAGAAGCAGAACAAATAAGTATCATTTTGAGCAAGACAACATTAAAATTTCTTTTGTTAATAATGCTTAATCGACACTTTCAATTATTTTAAATCTATATTACAAATTGATTAAATAGGCTCTGTGTTATAGATATGTTAAACAAAATCTTTACCTAGCTTGTGTGTAAACGACAATTTTGCGATTTCTTTGAAACAAAAATTTATCTAATATACTCAAATTGTTGTCACACAAAGAAGCTTATCTGCAGTTGCTAATAATATAGCCTTGAAAATATTTTTAAATTGTTGTAATACACGATTCGCTGTTTCTTAGCATTAATAATCTCCTTTTTCATTAAAAAATTATATACTTATTTTAGTTCTATGTATATCTTATTCGAGTTTGTATATGAATTCGGTAAATAAAGGGGAACAAAAACCAATTCAGGTTTCAATATAATTAGGCAATCTGATTTTTGGAGATCCCCTTTTATTACGCTTATTTTGACACATACCCCAGAAGTGCAACATAGATAGAGTTTATCAGATATAGATACATTCGGTTTAAGCACCCTGCTGATTAGATCTTATCAGTTTTGGGCCGCTGGCTAACGTGTTTCTATTTATGTAAGCTGGTGGGGAGATATTTGCACTCTGGCATGTCATTGGTGATTAATCGGTCGGTTATTGCTTTCTCTTTATCAGTTTCGACGGCTATTTCATCAATTCCCTTAAAAGTACCTGGTCTTTTCCACTCGTATTGCAGATGCTCCTGAGTTAATTGTTCCTGGTATTTCATCAGCTATAAAATCGGCAGACCGTTACACGTGTCCGCTAGTTATGGAAAATTTGTAGAAAAACATCGGTAATATCCAGGGCCTTGGAAATTTACAAGTTTGGTTTTACGAAATGATGAAATTCGCTTAGGTAAAAAAAAGGACCACGGAGTCAGGTAAACGCTGGTGCGTCGGCGTCGCTGTTGACGTTGCCGTTGGCATTGACACATGCGCAGCAAGCAATGCTTGCTCTCTCTTCATTCCTCTCCCACTAGCACGCTGAGTAATCAGTGCTGTCAACTCTCGATTCCGAAAAATAGCTATTCCATTCTGGTTTATCACACTTTATATTTATTGTATTTTCTAACGTAACAAGTGTGTATAATTTTTACCTTTTTTTAATTTTTTAATGCCTTAACGCCGTTTTCATTTTTGTTTTTACCGAGAAGTAGAGCTAGGTAATATGGCAGACACAAAATATTGAAACTAGCCAAATCCGTCTATTAAATAGCTAAATTGACCACTCTGTGAATAGGTTCGATCGCACCACACGTGCGGCGCTCTCTCTCTCTCACCGCTCAACGATCCTCTTCGCCTCTCGGTGTTGTCTACGCTCATTTGTTTTCGAGCCACCCGCTAGTCTAGACGTGTTAAAATCAAGGTGCGTTGATAACACGTTCCACGCTGTTGTTGTTCTAGTTGCTGCTGTTTACGGGCAGCAAAATAAATAGCGTGGGGGAATACTGAGTGCGCGTGTGCTAAGTGTGGAGCCTGGCTCTTTCCGCTTTTCCGCTTTCCCTGGTTTGCGCCTTATCGCCAAAAGCCGTCTGTGAGACTAAACTGTAAACAAAATTATAAAAATAAAATTGAATAAGCGTCTGTGCACATGCTCGCGCTTCTATTTTTTTATTGCGACTCGGAAATGGGCCAGTTAGTCATTAACATTCGAACCGCCCCCACGCTACGCCTCTCTTTGTCCCTCTGACGACACAAAGAGAGCAAACAAACACTGCGACAGTCTGTCTAACAGCTGTTGAAGAGTGACAGTGATCCAATCAATGGCTTAAAAATAGATGAGCTAATCTTACCAGTGGGTTTAACTGTTGTAAACCAATGTGTTTTGTTGGATATAATCAAATCAGTCGGCTTTAAATGTTTTTAATTTTTTATTACTTGTTTAACGAGAACAATTTCGTTATTTCTTTCAAACACATGGAAAAACCTTTGAACTATTCGTCAATTAAACGAAGCACAATATCACACGCATAAAGAGTGTTGAAGTTTTTAATATGGTAAACAACTTTAACTGTGCGACGTAGATTTCTACGAGCAAAAAATGTGTTTCCCTCAAAACAGATTTTGTTCGTGTAAACAACAAAACAAAATAAATGGTTGTATGGTCGTAGACAGCATTTTATTTAAGCTGAGAAAATCTCGAATGTTTTAGTGAAATCAAGCAAATTTATCTAATTTGTAAATAGTGATTGATTCGATAAAACTAAATACTAAAATATATAGCTGAGTGATAGCTAGTTTTAAATAAGTTATATGCGCACCACAGATAAAAGAATATTTACTTACCCATTCTCTTTGTCTCTTTGTCTTGTATCTTCTATCTTACAGCTTAACATTCACACACACAAGTACAACCATAAGTACAAGCACACGTACCAATGAGGGAACACCAATAAATCGTCTGAAGCACTGCCAAACCATAAGTGAGACGACAGGATCAAAAGGAGGAGGAGGAGGAGGTCCGGGAGTGGGAGCGGGAGCGGGAGAATCGGGAGTATCCCCTCCAGGAAGCGGGATTCAAGTCGAGGACACAGCGGGATCACCAACAAATCCATGATGCTGTACGTTTTCCACGTGGACGTCGGTCGCATGCTGAGCTTCGACATGAACGTAGCTCTGCAATCGGTGGAGCACCTGAAGGAGACGATTCAGAAGCTGCACAACATCCCGGCCGCCAAC